CAAAGTCAAATTTAAACATGTAAAAATGCATAATTTGTGTTCAAACTACAAATAATCATCATTATGCCTCTTTTTCGGAATTTTTTAAGTTCATATAGAAGATATACATGTCTAAATTAATAATCAGTTTAATTTTTTCATTTCAGACAAGAATTGCGAGCGGCATCGTGTACGCAGATGGACAACTCCAGAGCCGAGGCGCTCCACACAATAGCCTCTACATCCGCCATTTTCTATTAAATTGCTCCATAAAAATTCACTTTATACCCTTTGAATACATATTAAAATGAGGCATAAACGTTTAAGAAGCTTAATTATTTTTTCCCTTCTAAAAAAATTCCCAAAATATTGCTATTTTTTGGCCTTGTAAAGCAGACTACCCCCTTAAATATATGTAATACAAAGTTTGATTCAATGTCAGAAGCCTCTGATATAAATAGTGTTATTTAGTCAACAGACAACAGTAAAGAGAGTAAGTTTTAAATCTTTGAATGGTTATTTTCTTTAATATCTCTTTTTATTTTAATATTGTGTTTACTTTTAACTTTGTTAATTATTTTTTAACAAAGATATGTTTAATTCTATATTATATTTACATAGGTTCTCTATTTCGATGACAAGATGCGTTTGTGCTTCTTTTATTACAAACATATGAGGAGATGAAAGAAAAGTTCACTAATGGGAAATGTTCCCATAAGAAATGTTGGCAATTAATTTTTGAACTATTGAAGAAAAAAAAATACAATGTTATAGAATTTCAGTGTGCCTCAAAATTTAAAAGTTTGAAAAGAACCTATAAATCGATTAAGGATCATAATTCTAAATCAGGAAATAATCGACGAACATGGCAGCGTTTTGAGGTAACTTTTTTTACATGATCTCTCCTATAATCTATTATATTATATTTAAAATTTAATAATTTTAATTTTATGTTAAAAAAATATATATGTATTTTATGTTAATATACACTATATGTGTTTTATTTCTCTATAGAAAAATTTATTTAAATCCATTATTTATAATTTCAAATAGGATTTATATAATCATCTGTCAAATTTTATGTGTGTGTATGTATCAGTAGATAATTATATAATCAATAGTTAAAAGAAAGGGCTACGAGCCAGTTATAACATAAAGAATATTTAATAAACTTTCATACATACATACAAACGTTTCGACACCGATCGGGTCATTTTCAATGTAAAAACAACAAACAATCTTACATAAATTATCGGAAAATTCAGTCAAATTATAATGTCCAGTAAAGAGTTCGATTGTATTCGTAACATGCAGTCCGTATGTATGTATGTATGAAAGTTTATTAAATATTCTTTATGTTATAACTGGCTCGTAGCCCTTTCTTTTAACTATTGATTTATTCTGATTGAGCCATATTGATCATTATTATTATAATTATATAAATCCTATCTAGAATATATATATATTATAAATAGTGGATTTTAATAAATTTTTTCACAAATATACATAATTTTGTGTTTCAGATCATGGATAACATGTTCTCGAAGAAAGTTTGGTGTAGACCTATAGCACTTCCTTCATCTACTGATCAATTAATTAAATTTATTTATTACTGCTCGTGTTTCTTTACCTGATGGCCACGATATAAATTGATGAGTTCTTTTAAACAGTGCTCGTGTTACCCTCCTAACAGCTTTCAAACCTGTAGTCCTTCCTACATTGAAGCGATCGCAGATAGATCTGCAAATATAAAAACTGTTGAGAAGTAATTTTACATGATGTTAACTTTAAGTCTATAGGTTATTTGATAATCGAAACTGAAGTTTTTGTGTTTCTGGTTCGAGGCTTCCTTTAGATTGATTAAGCCTGTATGTGTACGAGCATCTTGTCCAAGATAATAAAGCATACATTCTTATCTCTGTAACCAGTAAAACCTGTGTAAATTATTGAAATAAATTCAACAAAAACAATTAAAAGTTAATCGAAATACTTGCATATTAAGTAAAAAACATAATACACATAATATGCAATTTAATGAAAGCAATAATCGTACCTATAAAAATCCATTGTAGTCATGTTCCACAAGGCAATAAAAAATTGTTTTCTAGGTGAAATTGTTTCATATCCTTTTGTCTTCTGCACAAGATCTTCCGAAATTATATGCAATACTTATTCGAACGTTGCTCGTTTTAAAAAACAAGATATTTAATCTAAAATGACTTTTAAAATCGTCATTCGAATAGAGTTCAATTACGAATTCAACATTTTGCATGCAAGGACGTAAGATGCGTTTCCGTTTTTTCTTTAATAATTCCCATTCTTCATCAGAACTCGAATCACATTCTGAACTAATTTCTTTCAACAATAATATTGCAAAACTAGCAATGTTTTCCGCCATGTTTTAGCATTAACAACGTTCAAGATAATCGTTCCGCTTGCCTGTTATGCTTATGTTAGTGGCAGCTAGGGGAATGGATAATCAAGGCATTGAGAGCATGAGCGTTGCGAACATTAGGTCGAACGCACCCTTGATAACGCGTGGTGAGGGTAGTTTCCGATAGCTATAGCTGTAGCTGTCGGCAATTACTCCCACTTTTCCCCCACAACGCGCTACGCGTTGGTAGTAGTGTTACCAGATCTGAGCCGCGCAACGTCACGCACACAAAAGCCGAGCGACGTACGTGTGCGCTCGGCGTTTCGGCTACCTTCAGACGTAGTAAAGTCACTAGATTTACAAAGTACCGCAATCCATAAGACTCAATGTATAAGGATTTGGAGCCAAAATGGCGTCGAAAAGCGTAAATAGTGCTTTTTCATAATGTATATCTACATATTAACTGCAATGTATCTAATCTAAGATCTGTTGTGTAATGGTGTAATCTGAGATCTGAGAAATGTTTATGAAATAAAACGTATCACTGATTGCAGGAGTGATCCAAGTAATAATCAAAGTTTTTTCATTAGATTAAGAGAATTTAAGGATAATGTTTTAATATTTCCAAGTATAGAAATATATAACATTGTATACAAATGTGAGTTATTATTTAGAAGAAATGAACATAACTCTCTAATAAGTTAAAACCTATAGAGTACAAATGTTTTTAAATAATTGTTGCACAAACTTTATACCATCTTGCTACAATATTGTTTATAAACTTATTAAAACATTTGTTATAGCACGCATCCACTTTACTACTAAAAAAAGGAAAATATTGATATTACGGAATCAAATACACATAGTAGTAGAAGCGTTGCTATGAAATCATATGTAAACAAGAACAATCATAAATAAAAACACTGATTAATATAATTTATGATTTTCCTTTTTCTTTACAAAATACATTCATACGTTTTGAATGAGCCGCTTGTTGGAGCCAAAATGGTGGAATGATTGCGGTACTTTATAAATCTAGTGATTTTAAGACGTAGTAGGAGCAACTCCCTCTCGCTGTATGATTCTCGTTTGCTTAAGCTGCGTTCGCAACTTAAGCACTTAACGCTCGCAACGCTCACGAGCATCGTTTGTCCTTGTTTAACATTTGATAAACGACAAGGATGAAATGATTCCACGAGCGTTGTGAGCGACAAGTGGAACGCAGCCCTAAGAGCGTCTCCATTTCATTTTATCACACGTTGATAATGCTATATACATATACAATAAATAATTATATATGTATATGTAATCTGGAGACACGGTAGTGTCTCGGCGCTAAGCCAAGCGCAGCGACACTGCCGTACTTCCTTTACGCGAACCGACGAGTTGCGGCAGATATTTATTACGAAAATCTATTATATTTTTTGTATATAGCATTTGTAGTATTAATATAAATGAACAAATATTTAATACGATATGAATAATTTTTTCTTAATACAAGTATAGCGTATTGTATAATAAATCATCTATGAATATGAAACGAATATGAACTTATAGAAAATATTAAGTCATAATATTATATTCATAATCTTACATACAAAAAATATAACAGATTTTTGTAATAAATATTACATATATAAGGGTGTTAGTTAAGTATGTTGCCATACTCAACACAGCGATTCTTTGGTTTATTTCAAGTAAAAAAGTCCATATAGACATATGTCCTAAACGGCTTAGTTTCCGAAATAAAAAAATTTAAACGTATAATAATAATCTGTTTATTTGAAAGAAATACAGCTTGAACTAGTCAAAAACTAGTCAAAAACAGAAAAACAAAAACACACAGGCTTTAGTTCTTCTGATGAAATAAAACAATTAGATGAATTGTTGAAAACGTATGTATAAGCTAACTGACCCGCGGCAATATCAGAACTGAAGTCTATTTTTGATTTTTTAACTTTGACTTTGTCACTTTGTTTATGGTTGTGTGAATGGTAACTCACGTGAAGCAAGGCATATTTATGCAGGAAGAATCGCCAACGCAATTTACCGTTTCGTCAAACATTTGCGAACATTCACCTGTATTTCGGAAACTAAGCCGTTTAGGACACATGTTTATATGGACTTTTTTACTTGAAATAAACCAAAGAATCGCTCTGTTGAGTATGGCAACATACTTAACTAACACCCTGTATATAATTATTTATTGTGTATGTGTATATATATATATATATATGTATAGCATTGTCAGCGTATGATAAAATGAAACAGAGATTTTTTCGCTCTTGGGCGAGCAAGAATCGTACAGTGATGCGGGGTCTACAATAGAAGTCGTAGCGATCGTAGGGTCTTAAGTCATAGAAAATTGACCAATCACAGTTGATTATTCTTCTCATATTCGACTGTGATTGGTCAATTTTCTACGATTTAAGACCCTACGACTGCACTATAAGAGGGATGTTCCTATCATGATGTGTGTGTGGGTGTACTACGTCATGATTCTACTGCGCCTGAAGATAGCCGAAACGCCGAGCGCACACGTCGCTCAGCTTTTGTGTGCAATATGTATGACCTCCATGGATACTAAAAGAATAAAAAGAAAATAAATTTTGTTATCTTATCTTCAACATTTCGCGAAATTATATTACTGACAATATGATTCTAAATGCGGACATGAGACCATATAACAGAGAAGAAGACTTTTTGTATTCATCATGGATAAATTTTCAGTAAGAGAATTAATTAATTTTATTTAATACATTCCTTTACCAAGTCTAAATGCAGTATTAAAATTTAATTTATTAATAATAAAGTATTTATAAATTAATTTATTAGAAATTACTTTTTCAAATTATAAGATTAAATTAGGTTAAGTGATGGATTAATGTACACTGTTAGAAATGTTTGTGAATTTATAATATCCCTACAATAAAAATGTGCTGTAAATTTACAAATTATATAACATTTTGTTGTGATTTCACAATATTTGTAAATTTACAATAGAAATTTGTTGTGAATTTACATAACTGACTTACCGTGCTTGCGTATTAGATTTGGATATACTTTACCACAAAATGTTGTAATTTCACAATACAACTGTTTAAATTTACAGCACATTTTTGTTGGATAAAAACTTCCAATACTTTTGAAAGTTTACAACAGAAATTTCTGACAGTATATATGGTAGTAACTTAAAGTATGAATTTTTTCCTTTTTTTAGGTTTTTAATTTTTTCTAGATATTTTAAATAAAACAATATGTTACTGTAAAGAGGAATATGTTGCTTATTATTAATTTTAAATGATTTATTAATATTACCAGCAAATCCCATGTGGATATTGTGAATAGCATATCATTATGAAAATATATTAGAACATCGTTATTTTAAAGAATACGATGAAATTATACATTTTGTACACATTGATGAGAATTTTGTAGCTATTATTGATATAATATATATTTATAATGTATTATATGTATATTATATGAAACGTTATTATCAAACTTTCTGTTGCAGTACAAAAATCAACTGACTGTAATACTGAAGATATAGAATCATCGTAATCCCAAAGTGTTAATCCAAAGCTTAATGATTATCTCATAATTGCAGTCATGAGATTTGTTCGCCTTGATTGCACCCTTTGCACTTGAATTCTAGTGAATTTATCAGGGTAAAAGAACTTATACTAATTCATTTACTAATTCACTTACATATTTAGAACCTCAGTTAAGAGTTAACCGTGAATTGTGGAATTGGGCCTTAGTTATTTGTTCAAAACAACTCGAACGTCCACATACATGCATAAATTTATTAAAATGGCGTAAGACAGAAATATTGGTGAAATATTAGAAGGAATAATAGATATAATGGATGATGAAATACTTTTATCACCAGTTCCAGTACCTCCGTACATATTATACTATGATGGTATGTAGAAATGGTACATATCAGTATTCACATATTTATTATATAATTATTATATAATTTCACTAAATATTTAATATATTTATTGAATCAATGACTAAATCATAATTTTTGTCTTTTTGTTTAAATTTTAGATAACGAAGTATTAGACTTTTTACGATTAGGATTAAGAGGAATACAATGTATTCACCATATAAAAGTTAATAATTACATCGAAAATACTGTTCAAAATTATTGAAAATGTATTGGAGATGTTGTAGATAATTCTCATTGCAAATTTTACAACATCTCCAGTTTTTACATCTTTGCAAGGTATTTCATTATTTATAGTAAAT